TGGCAAACTCTTCCAACTGTTCCCTCAGCACACTAGGATGGATTCCATCTGGTCCAAGTGGCTCAGTAGGTCACTAACTGCTTCCTCCCGGATTACAGGGGGGCAACTCTGCTCCCCATCCCTGTCTACTGGCTCAGGAGGCCAGTTTGTCCTGAGTACGACCTATCTTATTGAAAATTGAGTCAAAGAAGGTGTTAAATACCTCAGCCTTTTCCCCATCTTTGGTGACTATATTTCTCCTCATATCCAGTAAAGGATGGAGATTGTTCTTTGCCCCTCCTTTTGCTATTAATGTATTTATAAAAACACTTTTTATTATCCTTTACAGAATTGTCCAGCTTGGGTTCTAATCGAGGTTTCACCTTTCTAATTTTCTTTCTGCGTAACCTAACGACATCCTTAAATACTTCCTGAGTTGCCTGCCCCTCTTTCCAAAGATGATACACCCTCTTTTTTATCCTGAGTTCCTGCAAAAGCTCCCTGCCCATCCAGGCCATTTGTCTTCCTCACTGGCTCATCTTTCACATAGCTTGCTCCTGCGCCTTCAAGATTTTGTTCTTGAAGTGCATCCATCCTTACTGGACCCCTTGTTTTTTCAGGGTTGTTTCCCAAGTCACTCTCTGAATCAGCATCCTGAATAGACCGAAGTCTGCCCTCCAGAAGTCCAGGGTAGAGGTTTTGTTGATGCCCCTTCATGTTTCACTCAGTGTTGAAAACCTCATCATTTCATCGTCACTGAAGCCCAGACAGCCTCTGACCACCACATCTCCCAGAAGCCCTTCTGTGTTTGTAAGCAGCAGGTCTAGCAGGGCCCGAGCCCTGGTAGGCTCACTCACCAGCTGTGGCAAGAAGCTATCATCCATACACTCCAGGAACCTCCTAGATTGCCTCTTTTCCACTGTTTTGAGTTCCCAGCAGACATTTGGCAGGTTAAAGCCTCCTACAAGCACAGGGGCCAGGATCTTATAATTCATCCACGTCTTCATCCTGGTTGGGTGGTCTATAACAGACTCCGACCAGGATGTCGTCCTTGTCGGCCTTCCCCCTGATTCTTACCCACAGGCATTTAACTTTATCATCACTAACCTCAAGTTCCACAAAGTCAAGAGACTCCCTAAGATACCAAACTACCCCTCCACCTCTCCTATTTCGCCTATCCCTTCTGAAGAGCTTGTAGCCATCCATTGCATCACTTCAGTCATGTGAGTCATCCTATCATGTTTTCATGATGGTGACTACATCATAGTTTTCCTGCTGTACAATGGCTTCCAGCTCCTCCTGTTTGCTATCCATACTGGGTGCATTGGTGTACATGCACTTCAGCTGGGCTGCTGACTACACTCCTAGCTTGGGCTTATCACCCTTAGGCTCATCTCTGGAGAGCCTGGTTTCACCCCCTTCAAACCTTCAAACATGTTCGCAGCTGGAGCTGCAGATTTCCCAAATTTTTATTTTTTTTTAAGACAGGTAGAACATCCTGGGTTTCTGATGAAAACAGTGAAGTCACAGCACTGTAAAAGTTAGCTGGTATATGCTGTGCATCAGAATACTTGGATGTCCACAGGCCTTCAGTTCTTGCTGTAGAAGCTGCCTCCAAAGCTTGGCTTTTCCATGTGTCAAGGAGAGGAAACTAGTTACAACTCTGTGTGACTCTTACACCTGTAATGGTACTCCATATGAAGTACTTAGTACGAGACATCTAATGGTGGACATGACAATACACAGCTTGCATGATTGACGCTGAGTTGATTGCATAAGGAGAATTCCACAAATACCTTGGCTAGATTTCAAACATTTAACATACATTCTGAGCACCTACGTCTAAAGTTTGGTTTCTTGAAGTGCCCACTGAGGTTCCACTTAGCCCAGTGGCCATTGCAGGTTTTGTTTGTAAAGTTCCTCTGTCTATATTGCCCAGAAGGACTGAAGCCCTGGCAAAACTCATCTATAACCCTATGCAATTGATGAGCTAGATAATCCAGTGCAAGCAGAACTCAGTGCAGTATACAATCATATTTTCTTAATTTATATTGAGATTTGCTGGACAATTTGATCTTTAATACCTGTCAATCAAGAATTGTAAGCACTAACTAGCTGGGCAGTCCCAGTCAAACATTTCATATCCCCATCTTCCTGGATCTTCCTGAGATCACAAGAATAGGAAGAAACCCAGAAGGTCCTGGGTAGTAATGCAGGAAGTATCATATGTCTGAAACTTCAGCCCATGCATGATGAACATGGCAACTTTAGAACAGGAAGAAAGGAAGTTCAAACAGCTAGTAGGAAGTTTTGCAACCAGAACTATCCTCTCTTATTGCTGAATTTTCAGGTGATGCTGGGAAATGAATACTTCCTAAACTATAAGGGAGCAGCAGAGTAAGAAAAAGGGACAAATTTTATTTATCGTCTATTCTTCTAGAGATGGAACTTTTATTCCTGGAATTTCTCTGATTTTAGCCTGTAAGTGAAATATAATCAGAGGTGCTTCTAGAACAAATAGTGATACAGAGAAAAGCATACTTTACTTCTTCAGCATGAGAAGAAGCTCTTTTCCAGTAGGCTATAGTAGCTTGTTAGCAGCTCCAGCTACTTTAATGCAAATTTGAACCATGAGGAAAAGATACAGTAAGACGTAGACATCAGCACACATCAGTGGTGATGTCCAAAGGAAACTGCAGATGCATCAGCTTCATCAATCCTACAGTGATCTTCTGATCCAATGTTGTACACAGTTCCTGTGTGATGAGTGGGGCAGACAGAATTGAATCACGGTGTGTGCAGCCTCATTTCTTCAATGCTCATATTTGCCATAGCTATCTCTGCTGTGTGTAAAGCTGAGATAACTGCTAAAAATGGGTATACTTCCAGAGGCATGGGACATTATAGATCATTTCACCATGTCCTCAGCATTCCTTCTCCCAGAAACTGCTCCTTGCTTTCACTTTGGAGCTTCAGGAAGTTACTATTTGCTTTGACCTGGAAGTCTAGTAGAGTCTCTTGGGTTTCCCAAAATCACTAAGGTCACATCATACCTGATCTGTTTAAGGTTGTAGGATGGGACTCAGCATAGATTTGATTTCCCATGCTGGCACCGTTGCCAGAAACTGGATAGCGCATTTAGTTTTAATTCTCCAACTGTACAACAGGGCTGATAATAAATCCATATTTCACAGAGTGCTGAGGATATATATTAATGTGCATAAACTTCTCAGAGACTTGAGGAAAAAAGTCTGTTGTTTTCTTTGTACAACTATGTTATCCATCCAGCCAAAACAAAATTTATGCTTTTACTCAAGGCCAGACATTTTGAGAGTTTAAGAATATTTACTGTGTATTAATACTCTAACCTTCAATTGAGAGTCTGAAAACAGAATAAAGCTGAAGGTATCTTCTACTGAATACTGGGATGTTGTTTGGCAACCAGGGGTATTAATGCACTGCAATTTCAGAGGTGTCTGGAGGTCACAACTTCAGCACTTCACTTGACTGTGAAGCCAACTGGTGGTGTGCTCTCCACATCCTCGTGTCAAAAGGCCTGCCAAGTAATAGTGCAATAAGCATCAGTGGTTCTATTTCTATTCTTATTCTCAGCCTGCAAAAGTAATAAATAATCCCCATCTTACATATTTTTCATTTCATTATGTCTAAAGTAACTTTGTGGAATTCTTAAATTCCCTGTAACCCAAGAAAAGCTCTCACTTTCTGCTACTCTGATATTAAAGTAAAAAGAGAGGCATGAAGTCTACTTATCAGGCCTGTATGCACACTTCAAGAGATTACCAGGAGTAATCTTGCTAACTAATAATACTATTCCTGGTAATTAATAATAATAGTAGTTCTGATAACAAAAAAACCACCACCACCAATAATAATAATATTCATAATCAAAATCCTGGTAGAAACTGGAAGCACAGACAGTTGTTAAAATGTTCCTCCTTATGTGGGACACTTGCTGAAGGTCAGCAATCAGCTACTGCCACCTCTGTGCAAGTATTTCCAGTTTGCACAAGAAGCTCTTTATTTGATGGCTGAGGTGAAACTCTTCTTCCTGATGGTGTGCAACTATCAAGCTTTTTCTAAGCTTAGATCCTAGGTCAGCAGCCCATTTTTGTCATAGGGAATTAGAGGAGGGAAAGACTGTGCAAAAGCAGGAATTTCACAATTTCTGCTGAACTTGTAGGCACTGATGAGATGTAGAAAATGTAACAGAACATGCTTAATTCCTATTTTCATACCTTGGAAAGCCTTTTATCAATTGATGATGTATAACATTGCTGCATTATGAATATTGTTCACTGGAGAAGCCAGACTGTTTCTTCAAGCTACATACAGTGTATGGTACCATCACCTTTTCAAGACGTGCGAGAGATCTAAACCTGTTTTTAATGAGTCCAGCATGTTTCAAATTAAATACAGCAGTTGATCTCTTAGCTTTTGGACCATGGTTCTTGATGCATTACAAATACCTGATTTTTGTTACTGTTTGGTGCTAATACTGTGAGACAGTAGAGGGCACCCTGCCATTTAATTTTAGTGTTAATAACTTTTAAATAGATCCGTTTTCTTTCTGACATTAGAAGTTTTAAAGGATACTGTTAACAGACATAGTGATTTCTATAGATAATATCCATTGTGCAAAGATAATTGTGAAAATCAACTTTTTCAATATCTTCCAAACCTGAATATTAAAATTTAAAAAACCCCAAGCACACAAAACTGTAAGCTGTAGAAATCTCTAAAGCTCACCCCACCTAATATAACCCCATCTAATATAACCCCATCTATTATATTATCATATTGTAGGCAATTTTTTTTCATATTGATCTTAAGAATGGCTTAATAAAACATGCCTAGGGGTTGAAAAGTCCAGTAAAAGAGTTGAATAGCACCCACATCATCCATCTGTCCTGAATGAAGTTATTTTTAGCTGTCACTTAGCTACAGATCCTTCCAGCACAAAGCTTTATATTTCAGCTTCATGATTTCAATCAGGCACATACATGCTTATACTTAGCCTTTTTCTTCCCTTTCCCCAGTATAATCATAGAATTGCAGATGCTGACCTTCAGAAAACCTAAAATTAAAAAAGAAAAATCAGAATAACTTCTGAAATTGTTCATTCAACACAAACAATTCATCACAAAATACATCTGTCAGCCTCTAGCTAGAAGGAGACTTGCTTACTTTGGGCCAAACTGTCTCAAGGAATATATTAGAATATAAAAATTTTGACAGTTCATAGCATCTTTCATCTGAAGTTTCCTAAATATTTCACGTATATTAATTGAGGTTCCTTCTAGTAGCAAAATTTTTTATTATACCAGGTTTTTATTATATCACGTTGTGCTGGTTTAAAAGTTAACCAGCAGGGGAAATGAACTCAACTCAAAAGAGAGATTATAAGTCAGAATAACAATTTAATAAAATAATACTATAAGTACAATTATACAGACAAACAATTGGTCTTAACCCACAAAACCCAAATGTATAACCCAGCACCCTGGGGCATGAACAAAGTGGTGTTCCTTGGGCCCCCCTGAGTCCAAAGTAAAGGGAGAGGAGAAAAACCTGCTGGTGGGAGAGCTGTTGCAGTCTGGTCAAAAGTGGTGATTGTAGTCCAGTTTGAGGGTGATGGTCTCAGTCTGGTTGAGAGTAGTGATCTGCAGTCTTCCTCTGGATCCCACGAGTGGTAAAAAGGTTCCAAAACTCCAAGTTTATATATTCTCCAGTTCAGGCAGGAATGCTCAGTCCTTCCCTCAGAGCGGGGAATTCCATAAAAGGGTGTGAGGACAGGAACATCTTCCAATCTCACAGGCCTCTTAACGCCTAGTTTATAGCCTGAGGAGTCAGGCTGCTCTGGGCAGATGGTGTAAATGGTCTATTGATAACAGTTTCTGGGAAATGGCATGGAAGGCTATAGAATACACAGTTTCAGGTTACACCCATCCAGTGATGAATTGGTCTCAGCTGTTCTAATTAGGACACAGGTTTATACATGAGCCCTTGAGGCATAAGGGATTAACACCCACTTTTTCCAAAATGTGTTTTGAAAGAGTTGTCTCAGTGCTCAATGTAAACTTAGGGTAATTTCAAATGTGTTGTGTTTTGTTTTGTTTCTCTAAAAATGTATTAGGAGTAAGAGGAGGTGTGGGAACTAATAATGTCTAAGAATTTAATTAATTTGTAACTTGACTGCCAGATATAAGTGTGAGAATAAGGAACAGTAAGTGTTTTTAGGAGTAAAGTTGTATTCTCCAGAGATGTCCCACAGGTTATTCATATTGGTAAACATCAAAGCTGACAATACCTCTAAAAATGCTGAAACAAGTAGTCTTCAAGTGAAATCCTAAAATCATCCTCAAAATGAGACTGTAACCATATGCACATGTGCAAAAGGAGACAGTGCATGGAGTGAGCAAATAATAAACTGAGGCATTAGGGGCTTGGTATGGACAAGGCAAGAGGACTTAGGATGCCAAAGGTACAGACAGTAGCAATGATGGCAAATCATTTTCATGTGTGCCCACATGGCACCATCCCAGATATGGCCTCATGTCATCATCAATGCCAGTGCTTTGTAAAATGTGTTTTTGTCCAGCAGCATGGAGAGACACATTTTCCTGAGAGTTTTCCCATCTCTAGCTATCATTTTGACCGATATCATTTTGTCATTTAGAATGAGTTAAAAAGAAAATGAAAGAGTCTGACAAAAAGAAACTAGGTCTTTTTTTTGTCCTCATTGGAATAGAAAGATAAGTAAAGAACATAAGAGTAGGGATAGAGCTCCATGGATACGGGCTTCTGCTTCCACCAGCATACTACTGTTGTAGGAAAGGCTTACATGATGAACTGCAGGCATGACAGTGTCAGCACATTCCTTGCAAGTATCTTGGATGTGCAAAGTAGAAATGATTTGTTGATGAGCTCTGGAAAATCCCTTCTAGCAACCAATCTTTGCCATCTTTATTCCTGAGCCCTTTCAAAGTGTCATTAGTGACAGCAATTGTTTCAGCTAATGCTTTGTTCCTAAAGACCTAAGGGAATTCCTTGCAGTTAAACCCATATGGATTACAAAACACAGGGTTTCCAAGGAATAGGCCATCTCAATGCCAAATTATTTGGATATTCTATGTTGTGATAGATTTCCAAAACCTCTGGACAGTACAGATGGCAAAATATCTCGTGATGGTTGAAAGCAAATCTTTTTCATACAATGTTTAAACTTTTGTTCTTTTCCAAATATTTGATATTTTTGTCTCCAAAATCTTTTTTATATGCTGCAAGAGTATTGCAGCCCTTTACTTAAGCTGCCTAAGGATAATTAGCCATGGCTGACAGGCAGGCAAACAAGAAAGCATGAACTGAGTGGAATGAGCCATCGTATGGACCATGGATCAAAAAGTGCCAGGAGAACAATGCCTGAAACAGCTGGAAAGGCCTAGTGTGATAACATTGTGTATCCATTTGAGACAGCATGTGGCCATGAACACCCCCAGCAACAAGAGTTTGGGAAAACTGGTACATGGACAGCTGGCAGCACATAGAAACAGAGAATCCAGGATGAAATGGTGAAAACATTGTCTGCCATGCCCTTAGGCACACCCTGTCACAGAGAGACTAGAGGGAGTACTGGAAGGAATGTCACTTTTTCTGTAGCCTCAACCTTCTGGCATGAAATCATGTGCATGTGCACGTGTGTGGACAGCTCTTTACCTAACATGGCCTATCCCACTGTTTTGGTCCACTTAATGAAGAAGTTAACTCATCTGCATCATGTTATCTGGTGTTCCTTTTCCCACACAAGATTATGTTATTATCAAGGAATAGAAGTTATCTTGCTTCAAAATATTTTCTCCCTTTTTGTGGGAGATGATGTTTTGTTACATTTAAGATATTTTCTGTAAATGTCTCAGTATTGGACAATTTTCCTTTGCTTTGTTAAATTCTTGCTTTTGACCCAATATGGAGACTGAAAAAGTTTAATGTTCTGCTCTCTGTTTTTGAGTGATCCACTGAAGCAAAATGACTTCTGTTTTCTCTCTTATAGATTCTCCATGCCATATTTTTCCTGGATTTCTGTAGAAAACAAAGCATATGACACAAAAAAAACCTGAAAAAACTGTGGGAATATTTTTAGCTTTGAACACTCTTCAGGTGTTTTATTTTGAATTGGTATTCTAAGAAAAATGCCACTCGAAACAATTTATAATTAAAAAGTCATATTTTTTTCTGATAAAAATAAGCTTTGGTAAACAATTTTCAATAAGCTCTTGAGTATCTCTGTAATTTAAGACTTGTTGGGCCACAATTAAGAAATACAGGCTGTTATAGAACCATAGAATCATAGAATGCCTTGGGTTGGAAGGGACCCTCAATATCATCTAGTTCCAACCTTCCTGCTATGGGCAGGAGTGTTATTCACTAGACCAGATTGCTCAGGGGCCCATCCAACATGGCCTTGAACACTTCCAGGAATGGGGCATCCACAGCTTTTCTAGGTAACTTGTCTGAGTGCTTCATTACCCTCTGAGTAAAAAATTTCTTTCTGATATCTAATTGAAGCCTGCCCTTTTTCACTTTAAAACAATTGCCCCTTTTCCTGTCACTCTCTGCTTGTACAAAAAGTCTCTCTCCTTTTTTATAAGGCCGTTTAGGGTAGTGAAAGGCCACAAGGAGGTCTCCCTTCTCTTCTCCAGACTGAACAACCCCACTTCTCTCAGCCTGTTTTTGTTGCAGGTTCTATAGCCCTCTGATCATCTTCACAGCCCTCCCGTGGACATATTCGAACAGATACACATCTCTCTTGTATTAAGGACCCCCGAGCTGAATGCTGTACTCCAGGTGGGGTCTCACAAGGGTAGAATAGAGGAGGAGAATCACTTCCCTTGATCTGCTGGTCATGCCTCTTTGTATGCAGTCTCAGATGTGATTGGCCTTCTGGGATGCAAGTGCACACTTTTGGCTCATGTCCAGCTTTTCATCCACAAGAATCCCCAAGTCCTTCTTGGTTAGGCCATTCTCAATGGCTTGTCCCACTCTGTGTTTATATCTGGAATTGCCCAACACAGGTGCAATTCATTGTACTTGTTGAACTTCATGAAGTTCTTGTGGGCCCAGTTCTTCTCAATTTTGTCGAGGTCCCTCTGGATGGCATTCCGTCCTTCTGTTCTGTCAGCTGCACCACTAGCTTTGTGTCATCTGCAAACTTGCCAAGGGTGCACTTGATCCCACCATCAGTGTCATTGATGAAGATATTGAAGAGCACTGGTCCTAAGACAGAGCCCTGAGAGACATCAACTGTCCTTGGCCTCCACCTGGACATAGAATCATCAACCACAACTCTCTGGCTCATCCAGCCAGTTCCTTATCCACTGAAAAGGCCATCCATGAAATCCATGTCTCTTCAATTTGGAGATAAGAATGTTGTATGGACCGTATGAAAGGCCTTACAGAAATCTAGACAGCTAACATCTGTCAGTCTTCCCTTGTTGACTCTTGCCATCACTCCATAAAAGAAGGCCACTAAATTGTTCAGGCAGGATTTGCCCTTAGTAAAGCTGTGCTGGCTTGCCTCAGACCACCTTGTTTTTTATGTACCTTAGCATGTCTTTTAGGAGGATCTGGTCCATGATCTTGCCAGGCACAGAGGGGAGGCTTATCAGATCGTAGTTTGCTGTATCTTCCTTTCTCCCCTTTTTAAAAATGGGAGCAATGTTTCCCTTTTTCCAGTCACTGGGGACTTTACCTGACTGCTGTGACTTTTCAAATATGATGGAGAGTGGCTTAGCAACAACATCAGTCAGTTCCCTTGGGACTCAGTTATGTAAGATGGTGTCCATAACTGCTTTGATATGCAAAATTACTGGACAACTTGCACCATGTCTTTTCAACTTTTCTAGTTTTCCAGTCTACAGATTGAAGCCTCTTATTTTATATTTTGCTCATGTTTTTATGACAGGTGATTTTTGGTTTTCTGGATGATGCACACCTATTTGTTAAGAAGTTTGCCTTGAAGGAGAAAATGTTGATAAAGATAATACCAATTTCTGAACCTCTGTTATTTAGACTATTCTTTTTACTTCCATTTTTTCCTGTCATCACATCTCTTTTGCGTATTCACTGTAAACCCTGAGAACTCATGTTCCAAAAGAGACTGCACATAGTCACTCCTTTTCATTTCTTCTGGCTATGTATTAGAATAGCATATGTAACTCTTTTGCATTTAGCTTTGTCCTCATCTACTTAACATTCTGTAAAACTTCACGGAGCTTTTTTATTTTTGTAGTGGATGCTCAGACAGCAAGGGATCTAGCTGAAAAGCACTTTTTAAAGTTCCCTAAATTTGTAACTCCTGCCTGTACTTAGTAGTGCACTACCACAGGTTGTGTGCATCTCCCCTACTTTTGAAATATTTTGATCCTATGACTAGACAAATAGTTACTTGACTTTATTTCTACTTGACTATAGAATTCAGTACAGAAAGAAGATGGAAAGTTTTTTAAGCACTATGCCTGACGTGGTGCAGGTTCTACAGTAATTTTAGTTACCAATACTTAGCAGCTACAGACACAATCATAATACACATAATACCCAGTATATATTAGTCTTGGTCTGAGTAGATTTTCTATGTATTTTCTGTAATAATATATTATTGAGACTTGCTTTTAATCTCCAGTACTAAGCTCTGTAATGACAATTT